TCGGTACGAAACGACGAGTTCCGGTACGAAACGATGATTTCTCGGTACGAAACGACGATTTCCGGTACGAAACAGTGATTTCTTGGTACGAAACGATGATTGGCAATTTTAAGCAATTTTCGTAATTTTCGTGATTTTCGTGATTTTCGTCGATTTTGGGCAAATTCAGGTATTCTGAGCCATTTTTGCCGCATTTAACAACTTTGGCATATTTAGGCATTTTTTTGCAATTTTCGGCTAGTTTGGTCAATTTTGGCACTTTTTGTGCAATCTGCAAATTTGGCCAATTTTGGGCAAATTCTAAAGTGATTTTGCAAGCAACTTTGGCAATTTTTGCAGAGTTTGGCTGTTTTTGGCAAATTTGGCAATTTGTGGCAACTTTCGTGATGTCGATTTTGGCACATTGAAGCTGCAAAATTTGCTTGTTTTGTCTATTTTGGCAATTTCAAGCATCTTTGGGCCATTTTGGAAAAGTTGGCAATATCTATGATTTCTCGGTACAAAACGATGCTTTCTCGGTACGAAACGATGATTTCCCGGTACGAAACGATGCTTTCTCGGTACGAAACGATGATTTCTCGGTACGAAACGACGATTTCCGGTACGAAACGATGCTTTCTCGGTACGAAACGATGATTGGCAATTTTGGGCAATTTTCGTGATTTTCGCTGATTTTGGACAAATTCAAGTATTCTGAGGTATTTTGCCGCATTTGGCAACTTTGGCATATTTAGGCTTTTTTTGCAATTTTCGGCTATTTTGGTCAATTTTGGCAATTTTTGTGGAATTTGCAAACTTGGCCAATTTTGGGCAAATTTAAAAGTGATTTTGCAAACAACTTCTGGCAGTTTTTGCAAAATTTAGCTGTTTTTGCCAAATTTGGCAATTTGTGGCAAATTTCGCGATGTCGATTTTGGCACATTGCAGCTGATAATTTCTCGGTACGAAACGACGATTTCCGGTACGAAACGATGATTTCTCCTCTTTTTCCTATCTTTTTCCTCTCTTTTTTTTCCTCTCTTTTTCCTCTCTTTTTTTGATTTCCCGGCACGAAACGATGATTTCTCGGTACGAAACGATGATTTCTCGGTACGAAACGATGATTTCTCGGTACGAAACGACGATTGCCGGTACGAAACGATGATTTCTCGGTACGAAACGACAATTTCCCGGTACGAAACGATGATTTCTGGTACGAAACGATGATTTCTCGGCACGAAACGATGATTTCCCGGTACGAAACGATGATTTCTCGGTACGAAACGATGATTTCTCGGTACGAAACGATGATTTCTCGGTACGAAACGACGATTTCCGGTACGAAACGATGATGTCTCGGTACGAAACGATGATTGGCAATTTCGGGCAATTTTCGTGATTTTCGCCGATTTTGGGCAAATTAAGGTATTCTGAGCCATTTTGCCGCACTTGGCAACTTTGGCATATTTAGGCATTTTTTTGCAATTTTCGGCTATTTTGGTAAATTTTGTCAAGTTTTGGAACATCTGGAAATTTGACCAATTTTGGGCAAATTTTAAAGTAATTTTGCAAGCAACTTTGGCAGCTTTTGCAAAATTTGGCTGTTTTTGGCAAATTTTGCACTTTTTGGCAAATTTGGTGATGTCGATGTTGGCACATTGAAGCATTTTTGGTTAATTTTATGAAGAAAAATTGGCAAATTTAGGCATTTTCTGCAATTTTCGACTATTTTGGCAATTTTTGGCACATTTGGCTCAAATTTTAAGGGGATTTCGCAAGCAAATTTGGCAGTGTTGCAAAATTTGCTTTTTTTGTCGTTTTTGGCAAATTGAAGCATTTTTGGCCGATTTTGGCAAATTTGGTAACTTTTGCAAATTTAGGTATTTTTGGCAATTTTGGGCTAATTTTGGCAAATTTGACAATTTTTGGCAAATTTCTCGTACGAAACGATTATTTTTCGGTACGCAATGATGATTTCTCGGTACGAAACGATGATTTCCCGGTACGAAACGATGATTTCTCGGTACGAAACGATGCTTTCTCGGTACGAAACGATGATTTCTCGGCACGAAACGACGATTTCCAGTAAGAAACGATGATTTCTCGGTACGAAACGATGATTTCTCGGTACGAAACGATGATTGGCTATTTTTGGACCGAGAAATCATCGTTTCGTACCGAGAAATCATCGTTTCGTACCGGGAAATCATCGTTTCGTACCGAGAAAGCATCGTTTTGTACCGAGAAATCATAGATATTGCCAAATTTTCCAAAATGGCCCAAAGATGCTTGAAATTGCCTAAATCGACAAAACAAGCAAAGTTTGCAGCTTCAATGTGCCAAAATCGACATCACGAAATTTGCCACAAACTGCCAAATTTGCCAAAAACAGCCAAATTTTGCAAAAACTGCCAAAGTTGCTTGCAAAATCATGGGCAAATTTGCAGATTTCACAAAAATTGCCAAAATTGACCAAAATAGCCGAAAAGTGCAAAAAAAAAAAACTAAATACGCCAAAGTTACCAAATGCGGCAAAATGGCTCAGAATACCTGAATTTGTCCAAAATCAGCGAAAATCACGAAAATTGCCCAAAATTGCCAATCATCGTTTCGTACCGAGAAATCATCGTTTCGTACCGGAAATCGTCGTTTCGTACCGAGAAATCATCGTTGCGTACCGAGAAATCATCGTTTCGTACCGAGAAATCATCGTGTCGTACCGGGAAATCATCGTTTCGTACCGAGAAAGCATCGTTTTGTACCGAGAAATCATAGATATTGCCAAATTTTCCAAAATGGCCCAAAGATGCTTGAAATTGACAAAATCGACAAAACAAGCAAATTTTGCAGCTTCAATGTGCCAAAATCGACATCACGAAAGTTGCCACAAATTAAAAACTGCCAAAGTTGCTTGCAAAATCACTTTAAAGTTTGCCCAAAATTGGCGAAATTTGCAGATGTCACAAAAATTGCCAAAATTGACCAAAATAGCCGAAAATTGCAAAAAAATGCCTAAATATGCCAAAGTTGCGGCAAAATGGCTCAGAATACCTGAATTTGCCCAAAATCGGCGAAAATCACGAAAATTGCCCAAAATTGCCAATCATCGTTTCGTACCGAGAAATCATCGTTTCGTACCGGAAATCGTCGTTTCGTACCGAGAAATCATCGTTTCGTACCGAGACATCATCGTTTCGTACCGAGAAATCATC